CCCTATGGTACCTACACATTAAAAAGTGATTGCCGAACTGCCTCTCAAATGTTTCTGCATAACTGATACTTGAAAAATTCATAAGGACTGAGCACAGTGGCTCACACCTGTAATACCAGGACTTTGAGAGGCTTAGGCAGGTGGATACTTGAGCCCAGAAGTTCAAGACCAGCCTAGGCAACATGGCAAAACCCATCTCTACAAAGAAATACAAAAAATAGGCCAGGCGTGGTGGCTCATGCCTGTAATCCCAACATTTTGGGAAGCCAAGGCGGGTGGATCACCTGAGGTCAGGAGATTAAGACCAGCCTGACCAACATGGTGAAACCCTGTCTCTACTAAAAATAGAAAAATTAGCTGGCATGGTGGTGTACACCTGTCGTCCCAGCTACTTGGGAGACTGAGGCAGGGAATCGCTTGAACCTGGGAGGCGGAGGTTGCAGTGACCCAAGATCATGCCATTGTACTCCAGCCTGGTGACAGAGTGAGACACCGTCTCAAAAAAAAAAAAAAAAAATAGCTGGGCATGGTGGTACATGCTTGTGATTCCAGCTACCTGGGAGACTGAGGCAGGAGAATCAGTTAAACTTGGGAGGTGGAGGTTGCAGTGAACCGAGAGCACCACTGCATTCCAGCTTGGGAAACAAGAGTGAAACTCGATCTCAAAAAAAAAAAAGTAAATACATAACCAGACATGGTGGTACACATCTGTCTTACTAGGGAGACTGGGATAGGAGGATCACCTGAGCCCAAGGAGGTCAAGACTGCAGTGAGCCAAGACTGTGCCACTGCACTCCACCTGGGCAACAAAGTGAGACCTCATCTCAAAAAAAGAAAAGAAAAACTCATTACCTGACATTTTACCAACAGAAGTAATTCTAGATATAGAAGTAGCAGAAGCTCTAAATGAGGACCAATGTCAAAGTTAACACCAATCAAACCAAAGCAATTCAATGTGCCAAAGGAATTTCAATTAACAAGCATTTCTGTAATTCATGGGTTATTCTTGTTACATATATGTTTAATTGCATTTTGATAAGGGCTATGAAAGCTAAAAGTTGTCCAATCTTCAAATGCTCAGTATTTTACCTGGCTACAGAAAAGGAGGTACAGTACAACGCATACTGGACCAAGTAAGGTGGAGAGATCCAGATTTTTGTCACAGTTCTTATTCACCAAATATGTGACCGTGGGTAAATTTATGAGGGCCAGAGAACTCAAGTTTCTTTGCCTTCATAAAGAGGATAATGCTACCTGGGTCACCAACATCAAAGCTGTTATAAGGATCAAATGGTTTAACAAGCTTTCAAGAACTGTGAAGTATTCTACATACCCAGGCTATTTGGGAACTTTTTAAATATTCCTTCTAGAATATATTGGAAGTCTTTTTATTTTTGCTCATCGAACTTTCTTCCTTAATCATAATTTTGCTTTACCTCCAATCTTAATGTTCTTCCCTTTTTTATTAAATATCAATAATAATAGTAATAAAACTTTCTTTAATTTTAGTTTTTTCTTCTTGAGACAGGGTCTTGCTCTGTTGTCCAGGCTGGAGTCCAGTGGCACAATCACAGCGTCAAACTCCTGGGCTCAAGGAATCTTCCTACCTCAGCCTCCTGAGTGGGCTGGGTCCCTCCTGGTACCACAGGTGCACACTACCTTGCTCAGCTAATTTTTGTAGAAAAGGAGTTTCATCATGTTGCCCAGTCTGGTCTCAAACTTCTGAGCCTGCCTCAGTCTCCCAAAGTGCTGGTATTACAGGTATGAACCACCCTGCCCAGCCCCTTACTTTCAATAATAATAGTAATAGGAACTTTGCAAAATAAGGGACTTTTAGGATATAAGAAGTTAGGTCACTGAGTATCAGGATGACTGATCACGGAATGATTTTCTAGGGTAACCTAATTCTTAGTTAACTAGCTATTTTGAGAGTAACCCTCATCCATTCAGATCACTTCAACAAACACTGATATATCTCCTATCATGAATGAGAGGCACCAGGGATACCAAAATGAATTAAATACAGTGCAAACAGTGGGAAATCCAGTGCGGAAAAAGATACATAATTTTCAATCATCCAGGGACACTTTAAATTGGTTTTCCAAAGGATCTGTGTGAGGATTAACTGTTTCAAAGCATAGACTATGTAAAAACTGATTGGATCTGACTTCTCATCAGCCTAGGAGCTGGGTTCCTGCAAGGCAAAGAGGAGGCTAAGAAATAGGGTCTTTCTCCCGATTCTAAACAACAAAAATGCTCCTAGATAGTCAAAAGCTGACTGTAGTTTTGTTGTGACTTATTTTAGTTCATATCTAAAGTCTCTTAGCAATCTCCTACTGCATTTACTGAATTCTAAATTGATTTTTACTTTGAATATAATGTAATAAATGTTATTATGTTTAGTGCCCTAAAAAAGGGGAGAGTGGGACAAGCAAGGAGGCAGGGATAGAAAGCTTATCATAAGAGCAGGATTTGGTGGCTGGACATGGTGGCTTACGCCTACAATCCCAGCACTCTGGGAAGCTCAGGCAGGCGGATCACTTGAGGTCAGGAGTTTGAGGCCAGTGTGGTCAACATGGTGAAACACCTTCTCTACTAAAAACACAAAAATTAGGCCAGGTGCAGTGGCCCAGGCCTGTAATCCCAGCACTTTGGGAGGCCAAGGTGGATAGATCATTTGAGGTTAGGAGTTCGAGACCAGCCTAGCCAACATGGTAAAAACTCCACCTCTACTAAAAATACAAATATTAACCAGGCATGGTGGCAGGTGCCTGTAATCCCAGCTACTTGGAAGGCTGAGGCAGGAAAATCATTTGAACCGGGAAGGGAGAGGCTGCGGTAAGCTGCAATCACGCCTCTGCACTCTAGCCTGGACAACTGAGCAAGACCCAGTCTCAAAAAATAGAATAAAATAAAATAAAAAAGAGTAGGATCTAGCAAACTTCTGAGCATTCTATTCAACAAAGATGTTTACTGAGCAAAATATTTTTCCTCGCCTCAAGGATAACAAATTGCCTATTTATTATCTTGTTAATTCTCTTCTTCCAACAGCTCTTTTCTCCTTAATTCAATAAACAAATTTTCAATTACAAATGGTAGTAAATAGGAAATAAGAAGGAGGAGACAAAGGTCAAGCAGAGATGTATTAAAGAAGTCAGCTGCACTTGCATGTCTACCAGAGCACTATTCACAATAGCAAAAACATGGAAACAAGTCCATCAATGGTGGAATAGATAAAGAACATGTGGTATATATATGTATGGATTATGTAATAATATACTTAATATATGGATTATTATGTATAATGTATATATATTATGTATGTATGTAATAATATATGGATTATTACACAGACATTAAAACAAATGAAATCATGTCCTTTGCAGAACATAGTTGCAGCTGGAGGCTATTATCCTCAGTGAATTAATACAAAAGCAGCCAAATACTACAAGTTCTCACTTGTAAGTAGGAGGTAAACATTGAGTACATATGTACACAAAGATGGAAATAATAAGACACTTGGGACTCAAAAAGGGAGGGATGGAGGGAAGGGCTGAAAAACTTCCTATTGGGTACTATGTTCACTATTTGGGTGATGGGTTCAATTGAAGCCCAAACCACAGTATATATAATATATCCACATAACAAATATGTACATATACCCCATGAATCTAAAATAAAACATAAAAATAAAAAGTTGGCTCACATAGTTAAATATAAAAAGGTTAAAATATAAAAAGTTAAATATAAAAAGCCTTCTCTACATGTCTACTTTAGAAATGGGAGAATAGTTTACAGACAGGAAAAGGAAAAAGAAAGCAGAGCTAGCTGAGAAAAAAAGACTTTAATATTCTATTTACTTATTTGGGTCCATGCTTTGACTGTCAAACAAGTATTAACAGTTTTTCGACAAACTATTAACTATATACAGTTCTTTAGAAAAGAAAACTACATTTCGTTTCTAAAAAATGGCTAGGTTCATTAAAAAAAACACAATGAAGGGCCGGGCGCGGTGGCTCAAGCCTGTAATCCCAGCACTTTGGGAGGCCAAAGCGGGTAGATCACAAGATTAAGAGATCGAGACCATCCTGGTCAACATGGTGAAACCCCATCTCTACTAAAAATACAAAAAATTAGCTGGGCATGGTGGCACGTGCCTGTAATCCCAGCTCCTCAGGAGGCTGAGGCAGGAGAATTGCCTGAACCCAGGAGGCGGAGGTTGTGGTGAGCCAAGATCGCACCATTGCACTCCAGCCTGGGTAACAAGAGCGAAACTCCGTCTCAAAAAAAAAAAAAAAAACCACAATGAGAATCCACCAAAATATTAACAATGATTATCTTTGGAAGATGGGACTGTGAATTTACCCTTTATTTGCACATTTTAAGAACTACTTAAAAAGTAATACATGCAACCAAACGAGAAAATTACCCATAACCAGTCCCTCACTTCTGCCCTTAGCCAAATCCCAAGAGTGGTCTACACAGACCACTCAACTGTTTGTTCCAGAACTTTTACCTCTGCATTTATGAATATGCATATATGCATATGATAGATCATCTTTTAAACATACAAACAAGATCATATGCTAGATATATCATATGATAGATATAGATAGATATGGTTCTGACATGCTTTGTTTGTATTTGGAGATCTTTCCATGTCAGTAACAGCTACATGATAGTCGCAGTTAAGATATACCAGAATTTATCCATTCCCCTGCCCACCCCACACTTTGTTTTTAGTGATGGGGTCTTGCTATATTGCCTACGCTGGTCTCAATTGCCTCAAGCAATCCTCCCACCTCAGCCTCCCAAAGTGCTGGGATTACAGGTATGAGACACCACATCTGGCCTATCCATTCCCCTTCTGACTGACATTTAGGTTTTCTCCCATTTTCCATTATTGCAAATACTGCTGCAAATTACAGGACTCAACACTTTAAATTTTCTATATTCATAAAAGTTTAAAACTTTTTAAACATTAAAAAAATTTCACTTACTTTGGATTGGAAATAAATGTTTCAAGATAGTTTTCTTTGACATCACCCATTTTACTGCAGCTACAGCCATGATGTTCCAAGATGCTTATCAAGTGGTATGAAAAAAGATGTTCTGAAGAGAAACTGCTTTTAAAATCTGCTTCTAGGCACACTAATTTCTACTCCTGCTGAAGAGATAAAGAAAAATCAGTGCTACCTGTGGTAAACTTAAGTTATATTAAAACACCACAAGAATCAGGTAAGAATAACCGCCTTGAAGTCAACTGAAGCAATGCTTTTAAACAACTTTGCAATTCCACACGATTTAGGAACAGGACAAAGAGCAACATGCTCAAAATATAAGCTCAGAACCACTGAAACTACATCCCTCACTATTTCTCTTAGATGCAAACTTCTCTGCACCCAGTGTAGCTCCTTCCACTTAATGCTCAGTAAATGTGTAATTATTCTTGAAACAGTCACTCAGAAATGGTAGAGTATTCATTCTCATAATGCTAGTGTGTCTGTGTACAACCTCCCAGGTTCCATACACAAGATAATACATCACTTAGAGTACTATCCTGTTTCTGATTAAATGAAAATATTTGTCTGCCATGAGCCATTAATAATAATAAATAAATATCAAACAAGAAGCCCTACCCTTAGCATATTAAATACTCATTTGGAGGAACTCATATAAATGCCCTAAAGTCCCAGATAAAATGTCACCATCTTATATGTGTATAAGATCTTTAACTTTCCAAGGTGCTTTCACCACCATTTCGTTTTGCTATCGTATTAATCATGTGAGGTATCTTTCTTCTGATACGGAAAGAAACTAAAGTACAAAACTTAAACGTCTTGCTTCCAAGGACTTTAGTGTCAGTCACTGCCAAACTGGGAAACTCTGAACAAGTCATTAACTAAAGGATCCTCAGTTTCTCAATGGCAAAATGGGGAAAACAACCACAGTATTCATGGGCCATTGTGAATAAATGACAAATAACTATTGTTAAACCTTATTTTTAATAGTCCTCAATGGGCCGGGCTCGGTGGCTCACGCCTGTATTCCCAGCACTTTGGGAGACCGAGGCAGGAGGATCATCTGAGGTCGGGAACTCGAGATCAGCCTGATCAACATGGAGAAACCTTCGCCTCTAATAAAACTTAAAAAATTAGCCGGGTGTGGTGGCGCGTGCCTGTGATCCCAGCTACTCAGGAGGCTGAGGCAGGAGAATCGCTTGAACCTGGGAGGCGGAGATTACGGTTGCACTCCAGCCTAGGCAACAAGAGTAAAACTCCGTCTCAAAAAAAGTCCTCAATGACTATGCCAACCTAGCCCTGTCCTTCCTCCAATGGTGATAAAGGGGAATTAGGACACAGGCCATCTTATCTGCTAGACTAAATCATGCACACTGATACCTTGCACTGCTAGCACATTAACACCGCTAACCCTGAGCTCATAGGGGTGTTTAGTTTACAACCCACTTTCATTTACATTATGTGTGCTCTGACTTTCACATGTCTGTGAAGCAGGCATTATCATTTCACAAATCAAGAACAAAGGCTCAGAGAGGTCAACTGATTACTTTGCCCAGTCTATCGCTGCTTAATAGGTGACATACATGGGACATAAACCTATGACCTTGACCACGAACAAAACATCTTGGGGGAAATTAGGTCCCCTCTGTCAGGAGCCCAGAGGCAAGCATACCCTGCTGGGAGTCAGATTATTCACCCCAGAAAGATCATTTCAGAGGTCAAGTCCCTTGGCCCGGAATTCAACCCCAAAGCAAAAGCTACAGAGCTTCTGAGGTTCCGAAGTTTGAGGAGCAGGCTACCAGGAGCACAGGGACAGATCCAAAAGACTTCGACCTAGAAGAGTCCATAGAGCTACAGCTGCATCAGCTCCCCGCGGACGTCCGCCAGGGAATGAGGGGGGCGCTATAGGAAGCGTGCGACCACATGCCGGCCCTTCTGCAGAAAGGACAAAGGCTGGAGATGCAGGCAGCCTCGCCCTGCCGGGAACGACAGGCGGAAGACCTCGACACCTGCCAACAAGCACTGTGGGCCTGCCCAGCTTCGAGGGAGTCCTCGACAGGAGGAGGAGAGAGCAGCACTTACCTTCACAGGTTCTCACCACGAGCCCGCCATCTTGTTTCAAGCCGGGTCCTACGAGACAGCGCCGCGCGCGCCCTCCCGGCCCGCTGGGTATTCTGGGAAATGTAGTCTCCGCAGGAAAGCAGCTGAGGAAAACGGGAATAGTCGCTATGGACTCTTGCGTTTAGTTGTAGCAGCGTGGTTGCAACGTTAACAAGGTGCCCAGAAAACAAAATCACTGCCCCAAACACATATCCTTAGAGAGTGGCAAGCATTTTCTTTTTTTGAGACGTATCACTCTGCCACCCAAGCTTGAGTGCAGTGGCGTCATCACGGCTCACTGAAGCCTCTACCTCCTGGGCTCGAGGGATCCTCCCACCTCAGCCTCCTAAATAGCTAGTACTACAGGCACGCACCACCACGCCCTGCTAATTTTTAAATTTTCTTTTCATGGCATATGTATACCTAGCCCTGCTAATTTTTAAATTTTTTTGGTAGAGATGGGGTCTCGCTATGTTGCCCAGGCTGGTCTCAAGTGATCCTCCCGCCTCTGCCTCCCAAAGCGCTGTAATTACAGATGTGAGCCACTGTGCGAGCATACATGTATTTTTTTTAAATCTTAATATTCAGAGAAATAGTAGATTGCCCTTAAGTAGATCAGTTAAAGTTTCCCTGGGGAAAAGACATTCCAGAGAAGCCCTGAAATGTGGGTGCTAGGATTTGGACGTTTGAAATCAGAACTGGAGAGCCCCTCCACTTGAAAAATCTGGAACTGTTCCCTCAGAACTGTGCTGGCTACCTATTACAGGAGGAAGTAATTATGCAGAATCTTGGACCTCACCTTCCATCTTTGAAGGAAAGACCACTGAGCCTTTGCACTCTCTGTTCCCATTACCAGCAATGCTCTTCTCTCACCTATTCTCATGACCATACTGCATACAGGCCTTTCTCAAATATCATCTTAGAAAGGACTATGCCATTAAAATAGCCTCACCCACACTTATTCCATGCCCTGCTTTATGCTTTATTTTCCTTCAGAACATTTACCATTGCCTGACTTTATATTGATTATTTGTTTGTTTGTTTGTTTAATGTCTTTCTCTCTATCTTTTTTTTTTTTAGATGGAGTCTCGCTCTGTTGCCCAGGCTGGAGTACAATGGAGCAATCTTGGCTCACTGGAAACCTCTACCTCCCAGGTTCAAGTGATTCTCCTGCCTCAGTCCCCCAAGTAGCTGGGATACAGGTGCCTGCCACCATGCCCAGCTAATTTTTGTATTTTTAGTAGAGATGGGGTCTCACCATGTTGGCCAGGCTGATGTCAAACTTGTGACCTCAGGTGATCCGCCCACCTCTGCCTCCCTAAGTGCTGGGATTACAGGCATGAGCCACTGCTCCTGGCCTTGTTTTATGTCTCTTATGCTGAACAATGTAAGCTCCGTGAAGGCAGAGACATATGTCTATCTTGTTCTTTGAGGTGCTGGATTCTATGCCAACCCAACACCTCAAACTGTGCTTGGCCTCGTTATAGATCTCCAGTAAGTGTTTGCTGAATGAATGAAAAGACTAGATAACACTGCCAAATATCCAAAACAGTAGATGATTGGCTTGTAAAGCAGATGTGATCTCCTGGAAATTCCCTTTTCCCACGATTTGCAAAATTTTGTTTTTGTATATTTTTCTAAGAAAGGATCTATAGGGGATGAGCGCAGTGGCTCATATCTGTAATCCCAGCACTTTTGGAGGCTGAGGTGGGTGGATCACGAGGTCAGGAGTTTGAGACCCGCCTGACTGACATTCTGAAACCCCATCTCTAAAAAAGAAATACAAAAATTAACTGGGTCCAGTGGTGCACACCCATAGTCCCAGCTACTTGAACTCGGGAATTGGAGGTTGCAATGAGCCAAGATCGTGCCACTGCACTCTAGCCTCGGTGACAGAGTGAGACTCTGTCTCAAAAATAAAAAGAAAGATTCACTCAAGAGTTGCTCTCTCCTTCCAGAAAATGACAATAATTTAGCAATCAACAAACACTTTTCACTGTAAGGCCTACTTTTCATTTTGGGTAGGCGAACTTCAGCCTTCATTTCTTTGTGTGTGCCTATGGAGAAGTGGTTCTGGAATGCTTTTTAACCCAGGAGTGTGACTGTCACCTTTATCTTTTACTCTTTGAGGAAACGGGAGAGATGGAGGCAAGATGCTGCTTCCAAAACAGCTCACTCCTGGCTGCTCACACAGACAGAGGGCCCAGAAACTAGGTGGCACGAGGAAGCTCCTCCAGGATTAAGATTGGTCCCAGTTCCATTGCTGGTTAACTAAGAATTACTTGTCTAAGAAAATAAGTATCACTAGATTTTTTGCAGTGCTTTGAAGTGCCCTAATCTCTAGTACTGGGTCTTGGTAAAGTTGGAAAGTGAGGGCTCAGATATAATTAGATCTTTCCCTTTTTTAAAGGCATCTAAGAACAATCCCGTAGAATGTTTGCATTGAGTTTAAAAGCCTTTGGAACTAATATAGAAGTTTAATGCAGAATTGTGACAAGCAAAAGGTTAACTTATAGTTTAGGGATAGAGCTTTCTAGTATAGCAATGCATATTTCTAAGAAATGTCTCATTAAAATGCGTTAATAAATACCACTTTAAAAAATTTTTTTTACTCCACATAAAATAAAAATGAACTTAAGACTTACAAGGAAAAAATAAATAAATAAATAAAAAGAAAGAAAGGATCTTTAATGTTTATTATGCATTCCAGGGAGTTGATAAACCCCTCAATAAGTTAAGAACCATAGTCCTCAAGTGGAATATGGTTGAAAGTATTGAAAGTAGGTGAACACAGATCATATAGTAAAGAAAACTAAACATGGGCTGTGTAGTGTGTCTCCTCATTTCCCACGGAATATCAGGAGGCTAATCCTTGTTTTTGTAGAAGCCCACAGAGGGCCCATCTGTGTCCTTTCCAATCGTGTCCATCCTCCAAAGCCACCGATGATATCTTTCTGGATTATGCAATAGGAAGGGACAAAGAGGAGAAACAGACTTGAATGAGCAGTCAACTGGACTGGCCAAACATTCCCTGTGTAAAGTGGAAGAATGGATCAAAGATGATTCCAGATGTCAAGTCTTGATGGCTGTGAGCAGAGTGGGACCAGTCCCCAACAGTGAGACTCACTTAGTGGGACTAGGGAAGGTCTCACAAAGCTGAGACCAGAAAAGAAACCAACATTTTGTGTGGAATAGAGGGGAGAGGCAGGTTTAGGCTGAGCAAACAACTTACACAAGAGCTTTTTTTTTTGAGACAAAATCTCACTCTGTCGCCCAGGCTGGAGTTCAATGGCACAATCTCGGCTGCTCACTGCAACCTCCGCCTTCCGAGTTCAAATGATTCTCCTGCCTAAGCCTCCTGAGTAGCTGAAATTACAGGCACATGTCACCACACCCGGCCAATTTTTGTATTTTTAGTAGAGATGGTGTTTCACCATGTTGGTCAAGCTGGTCTCAAACTCCTGACCTTGTGATCTACCCACCTTAGCCTCTCAAAGTGCTGGGATTACAGGCGTGAGCCACCACAGCCAGCCACAAAAGCTTTAATGTGGTGGAAATCGCTTACCATATACTGGAGTAGGGCGGATAGTATGGAAGAGAGCGGCAGGAGATGAGGAGAGTCAGAGCCAGGTCATGTTGGGCTTCGTAAGCCTTGGAGGTGATAACATGGAGTTAAGACACGGGACATACGTGGAGATTAAATATAGTAGGTAGTGCTGTGTGCCAGTAGTCCTAGCTACCCTGGGAGAAGGAGGCTGAAGTGGGAGGATGCCTTGAGCCCAGGAGGTCAAGGTGGCAGTGAGCTATGATTGTGCTGTGCACTCCAGCCTGGGTGACAGAATGGAATCCCTGTCTCTTGAGATTTTTACACAAAGTGACATAATTTGATTTATATTTTGAAAAGGTTACTCTGGCTGCCCTGGGTGGAGTGGTTTAGAGAGCAGCAAGACTGCAGGCAAGTCTAGCGAGGAAGCTGTTGCAGTATTGCAGTCAAGAAATCACGTGATAGAGGGTGGTGGCAGTGGAGATGGAGAGACAGAAAGAGTCCAGATGTATTTTGAAATTGGAAATGATGACTTAACTTGCTGATGGATTGATTGAGAGAGAGGAAGACACTTCAGGTGATGTTTTGATGACTAGCTTGACAGTGGTGTCATTTCCTAAGACAGGGAAGACTGAAAGAGGAACAGGTTTGGGGAGTCTGATGAGGGCAGAAATGAATACCTCTGACTGGGAGTTGTTGAATTTGAGATGGCTCTGAGACACTCCAGTGGAGCTACAAAACGAGGCAGCAGCCTGGGCAACATAGTGAGTGAGGCCTTGTCTCTACAAAAAGTAAACAAAATTAGTTGGGCTGGTGATGAGCACCTGTGATCCCAACTACTAAGGAGGCTGAGATAGGAGGATCATTTGAGCCCTGGAGGCTGAGCTGCATTGAGCTGTGATTGTGCCACTGCACTCCAGCCTGAGTATCTGAGACTCCATCTCCAAAAAAAAAACCCAAAAAGCAAAAGGCAGGTACTTGGAGAGGTGTGTTTGGAGAGTAGAGGTTGGGTTAGGCATAGAAAAAAAGATAAAGGACCTGGAAGCTGGTCCCAGGGAATTCCAACACTTACAGATCAGATGGAGGAGGATAACCTTGAGCAACGGTCTCCCAGGAGTGGCAGCCAGAAAGGTAGAAGGAAAACGGACGATGAAGTAAGAGAGGCCATGTCACGAGGTGTTCATAACTTAAGAGTTCAGTGCTAGCAAGTTAAAAACTATCATTTCCAAAAATACGAACTTGAAATACCAGCAAATAACTTATATTGGCCTACCTAAAAGTGCTTTTTAATTTTATTTGTTTATTTATTTTCAAGACAGATTCTCGATTAGTTATCCAGGCTGAAGTGCAGTGGTGAAATCTTGACTCACTGGAACCTCCACTTCCCAGGTTCAAGTGATTCTCCTGCCTCAGCCTCCCGAATAGTTGGGATTACAGGTACCCAAAACAATGCCCAGCTAATTTTTGTATTTTTAGTAGAGATGGAGTTTCACCATGTTGGCCAGACTGGTCTCAAACTCCTGACCTCAGCTGATCCACGCACCTCAGCCTCCACAAAGT